TAAGTACAAAATAAACATTGCAATACAAAAATAATACACTGGTGCTCTGATATAATTAGTGCTCCTCCATTCCAATCCACCATAAAGTTACTTAAAGTGATATTAAAGGCAAATAAAAAAACAAACAAACAATCATGTTATACTTACCTGCCCTGTTCAGTAGTTTTGCTCAGATCAGCCCCGATCCTCCTCTTCTCAGGTCCCTTGCTGGCTCTCCTGGCCCCTTTCTCCTACCAAGTGCTCCCAGAGCAAGCAGCTTGCTATGGAGTCAACCAAGAAGGCTCACTCCTGAGCCACTTCTCTGTGTGTATATTCACACACAGAGTCATGGCTCGGCTCTGCCCCCCCTCTCCTCATTGGCCCAATGGCCCCAACTGTTGTCTCAGCCAATGAGGCGGGAGAGTCCCCAGAGAACTGAGGCTCTCGTACACATTTCTGGATTGCAATGAGGCTCTGGTAAGTACTGGGGGCTGGGGGAGCTGCTGCATACTGAAGGTTTTTTACTTTCATGCATTCTATGCAATCCTTGAGCCTTTACAACCACTTGACATAGTGTGTTTATTTCAGTGCAGATTATTAATCTTCCATCCTACTTCAAACACTCCAATGTCTGCAGATTATCACTCCTGTCTTGTCATACACGCTTCAATGCAAGGTGAAGACAAAACTTCAGTAATAGTGATTTTGCTGTACCACTCCATGGTTCCCAAGTGCCAAACACTCACCAGATTTTGTGATCCCTAAATTTAATAAGAAGGTATTAATGCCCTTAAATCCACACCTCCTCCTCTGTCTCCAGTTCAGCACCCTTAATATGACTCTCCAGTTCTATAAATGCCATAATGAAAAGACACTAAAGAGATCCCCAAACAGTGTTATACCTTGAAATAATTAATTCCACCACAATCAACAAATACAATCACACTGCACAAACAGAAAAAACACTTCTCATACTATCTCCCTGCACTTCATGTCTCACAAGATAGCCATGTTCCTCAAACAGCAGAAATGATGTTACAAGTACAGGCTCCGCCCAACGTGTTTCATCCTCAGGACATCATCAAGGGAACGTACAGGTGTCAGTGAAAATATGAGTTCACACAGCAGTTAAAAACATTTTTTAAGAGACCTTTAAAGGATAAATTCACCTTTAGTAAAAAATAATAAATGCACATTTTTTTAACAGGTAAAAAAATGTGCATGTATTTTTGTCTGCAGGAGCCTGTAAAGCATTGCACCAGCGAACAGCAGATCGCTGGTCCCATGCAGGTCTCCTGCAGACCTGTCAGTATATGTGCTTGCTCGTACGGGTTGTACTGAGCAAGCAGATATACTGACAGGAAGAATGAATGAACTACCAGCCATAAAATGGGGAGCGGGGGCTGGTTTGATCATAACATGTTACACCCTGAATTTGGGTGTAACATGTTACGAAAAGTGAACTTATCCATTAAGGGCTGGTTTATACCAGCTGCTGCTTTGCAGTGCTGCTGACCAGGTACCCTGCAAGAGCAACCATTTTTGTATGGAACTTTCATTTTGTTTTCAATAAATGTGGGCTGCCAGGCTCTTAAACTAAAGTTAGGACTGACATGGCTCACTAAAAGCACATCTACCAGATGAGTCTAGTCACCCTATATTACAATAGCTAAACATTTCTGTCTTCTATGACCCACTCCTAACATACATACTCTTCGCATAATGGGTGATTCAAAATCTTGTACACTGCATGTACTGTGGACATATCAGATACCCACATGCTAATTACAGGGCATTGACACCTGTATTTGCAGATTTCAATCTTTTTCTTCCTTAAAATGTTTTCCAAATATATTTAGTTAGATTTAGAATATTAGATTATATGCATAAGAGGAAAAAAACAATCAAATGCTTTTGTGGTCCAAGAAAACGTTGTGAGGCCCTGTTCACACCTATGCAGTTTGTGTTTTGTCTGTTTTGCAGTGCTTTTCGCAGTTTGTTTTGCATTTTTCTACATGTGTTTTTGATTACTTTTTGATGCGTTTTTATGGCGTTTTGCTCAGCTCTTTTTTTTTTTGGTAAAGTAGCAGAATAAAAATGCAAACCGTGGCAAAAATGCAGCACAAATGCAACAAAAACACCCTCTCCTTCTCTATTGAACTCTATTGTAGCAAAAATGCTGCTTTTTGCTTTTAAAAAAAAGTCCCTGACCCTTTGCAAAAACAAAGCAGCTCCAAAAGCATAGATGTGAACATGTTCCATAAGAAACTATGTTAAATGGACTGTAGTGCATTTCAACAAAAAGCAAAAAACACTAAAAACACATTGGTGTGAACAGAGCCTAAAAGTGCTGGGTCTTATTCTACTAGTTTATGGATTCTACTATACCTGAAGTGTCTCTCCAGGCAAATATAATACATCTTTTTACAAGGTTTTCAAAGTAAATACACATTGCAAATTTACTAAAACTGGAGCACACAGAATCTGGTGCAGCTGTGCATAGTAACCAATCAGCTTCTAACTTTGTTTGCTCGATTAATCTTTGACAATAGAACCTAGATACTGATTAGTTACCATGTACAGCTGCACCAGATTCTGTGTGCTCCAGTTTTAGTAAATCCCCCCCACCTCCAATCCTTTGACATTATGCTAGTTAGTATTAGCCCTTGACCCAGGGTTCACATATATGCGGTACAGTATATTGCATGTGATTTTACACAGGAACCGCACCACATTCCTGAGCAAATCACATGCGATTTGTGTGTGGTGTGATTGGAGCCATACATTTTGTATGACTCTATTAGCACTGCTCCAGCACCAAAAATGTGCAGGACCCTTTTTTGGGTCCGCACTAGAATCGGATCACATAGGTATTCATACCTATGTGATCCGATTCTGCACATCGCACTGCGTTTTGTGGACCGCTTTCGGGGTGTTGTTAACTTAACATACATACATACCCGCAGCGGTTCGCATGAATGTGGTGCAATTCTGATGCGGTGCGGAATTCACTCTGAAAACGCTGCAAATTCCCCACCGCATCAGTGTGAACCAGGCATGAATGTATACAGAGTAAACCTGGTGATCCTGCCATGATCTTCCATCTGACCTGAATTCCTGCTCTGGCCCAACAATGCTATTCAGTCCGCATACAAATGCTGATCCCCCCAGTGTTGTTGGGACCAAGTAGGAACAAGTGCTGGGCTTGTCGAATGCTTCCTCTAGTAATTTTGTGGGGATTTTAATTAAACGAATACACTATTGCGGTAGGTTCAGGGACAGGAACCATAGCACAAGGCAGGGGACAGGGGTATCCATCATTCTCAGAAATGTCAAATGTTGAAGGCACTGATGGAGACTGCAGCACTGAAAGGAGGTAAGACATCTGTTCTGCCAGAGATGTGAGTATACTAGCTCTTTTCTTTAAGGGATCTGCCATTTTCATGTCTGACCTGAGAGGGTTTCTTTAATGAAAAACTTCATTACAGTTATATAATCTCAGATGGTAAATAGGGATGAGCAGAGTGATTTCAGTGAAACTGATTTTGATGTGAAATTGCAAATTTTTGCTACAGCAGTAACTCTCAGTTTCACTCAGGACCTACCTAAATCAGTGGGTATGCGATATGGTGTGATAACATATATTGTTCATGCACTCTGCAACGTATTGATACAGTGTTTTTACCTTATTAAAAAGCAAATCCAGAGGAGGTGTCATAGTGCATTTTTTGCAATGCACACCAACACACTTGCTTGATGTGAACAGGGCATATAGAGAAATAAAGATCTGTTTTGGTTATTTAAAGGATGTGCTTTTTTTTGGGGGGGGGGCATATTTTGTATTATTTAATTCAGCATTTTTTTTGTCTTTGTGGCTTCATTTCTTCTGTTGTTTAATTGTTAATTTTCAGTCCTCTTGCACACTGGACATTTTTACAGCTGCTATTTTTGACTTTTGAAGTTTTTTTTTCACAGTTAGTAAACCCCCCAGCATGTTATCCTATGTGTCCATGCACAAATAGGCTGTAATCAACGTTTTGACTTTTGACGTTTTTTTTTTTCTACAGCTAGTAAACCCCCCAGCATGTTATCCTGTGTGTCCATGCACATATAGACTGTAATCAACGTTTTTTGGCTGGAAAAAGAACCCAGTACTAGTGGGTTTCTAGAGAAGTTCTTTGCTGAAAAAATGCTCTAATGCTGAAAAACACGGTAAAACAACGCAGTCTGGCGGTTTTGGATTTTTTTTACGCTAAAAAACTCTAAAAAACCGCAAGCATGGGAGAACTCTGCTAAACGTGGCAAAACACCACTAAATGCTAATGCAACAATGCTAAAAAAAGCTGAAAAACTCAAGTTTTTAATGTGACTTTATACAGCAAACGTTACCAACGTTACCAAAACATCCAGTGTGCATGAGGGCTCAATGTTGCCTCAATGTTATTCAGCAGTAGTAGATTACTCCCTTTTTTGTTAGCAAGAATGTTTGGTTTACTGTTTTTTTTTTACTTACTCAAACCAGCTGTTTGAAAACATAATCGGCATCAACTAGCTGTCCTTCTTCTGTAAGCTTGCATTCACATGTTTTGTGAGCACATGCAAAATTGCACTGCATTTGTACATGTTCTTGCTCCAATCACATAAGGCAGTCCATTGATTTCAACAGGCTGCCCTATGTGCAGCAAAGTAGCTTGTGCACATTTTTTGGTGTGCCGTTAACAGTAAATGGCTATGCAAGTGCGACAGGAATTTTTCCCACGTTTCGTAAATGTACTAAATCATGTGAAGTTCACATAATGCTAAAGTGGGAATTGAGCCTAAAAGATGCCTGTTTTCAACAACACAAAGCCCCTGAATTTGGAGAATCCCGAAAAGTTACCAGTTTATAGATTTCTGGATGAAATATCTTCAGTAAAATAGTAGCAATAACCTGAACTTCATAAACTAAGGATAATGTGCTATTTATGAAAATTGAATTTACATTATATTTTACAGGTATTTGCATTCCGGTTGCTGAAACTATGTTGACAGCTCATATACCAGAACTTGAAGGGCGCCCAAAGAAGAACAGTCACACATCTAGTAAAGATATGAACTGGCAGGATATAAGGAGACATCACCCTAAAATGTCCCATATAAAAGGTAAGACTACATACTTGTAGGCAGGTGCAGTTAGCCACTTTGTCACTAGGTGGCTCTGTACACTAAGTATTGTGCCGCTTTTAGGTAGAGCGCTCCCGCAAGTGATATCCGGATGAGCTAGCACCCATATATAAGCTACGTGGGGTGAGGACACAGTAGACTTGGGGCATGGAAGCCATTCACCCCACATCTGTTATAATGTAATCTACACACGTGGGCCCTGGCCATGGCAGAAGGCCGGGTGGAGCGGACCTGCAATCAGGCTGTCCCTTAAGGAGGTGAAGGCTAGAGCAGATTGCAAAAGGTCTTTTAGGCCAGGCTGGAGATCCCTGTGTGAGGCTACTTCCTTGGAGGATTCCCAAGAGAGGTGTACCCAGATAGGAGGTCTCTACAGAGAACACAGTCCTATGAGTACTTATGGCCCTGGGCTAAGGAGAGACTGTAGGGAGATGGCTGTGAGGTACTTTCACCTGGGACTGCTGCGAATCGTCCACTTTCTGTGATTGATTGTGTATGTAAAGTGACTCCAGATTGTATGTCCTTGTGATGTGACCGTCTTGCCATTCCCTGAACAACATCAGTAAAGTGCAGTGAAGTAATTTATTGTGTGTAAATTGCTTCTCTGGATATAAAAGTGTGAAATCTTGAGGAGGCCTATGGCAAGGAGCAGGACACAAGATGAAGGGGTCATCCTCAGCAGGTGGGATTGTTTTCTAGCATGGCTGGAGCTGGGCTAGGACCTTGTTCTTGGGTGCCCAAATTTTCCAACAAAGAAGCCTCTCTTACATTTTCATATCTTTATCATATGGTGGATCTGAATCTTCCAGGATCAGGGATTAGTTTAGGTAATGAAGATCACAGCTCCTGATTTAATTGGCAGTTCCAGTGAGAAAGGCAAATAGGTGATTTTAAAGTAAATCTATCTAAAGCCAAACCTTTTTTTCATAGTTTTGATAGCTGCTGCCTGTGTCCCATTAGAGAGGTTTTCTTTCACTTTCTGTTCTGAAGACACAACACAAAGTGAAAGGATATCTACGTATATCTACCTAAAGTAAAGGTAGTCCTCTCCTAGTCAGCTGTCGCCACAGCAAGTGTCATGTCAAAATAATAGAAGAGCCCGCCTGCCGCATACCCAAATTTTCTGAATTTGTTTTAGGCATCCTGTGTGGTCATACTGTAGGTCTGACAGTTTCTTTTGGGGGGGGGGGGCATTTTATTAATCTCTGCTTTCCATTGTTGTAGGGTAGGCACCCTTTCTTGGATCCACACTTTGGCTATCAGCTTCTTGGCAGTAAATAATGCCTCATGCAAAAAGGTTTGCAGATTAGTTATTAATTCTTAAGACTCAGGTGGACCAAACAGGCAAAACCAGGAACCCACGACATCAAGCAAAAAGGTTATTTTTTTCCCTGTAGATGTGTATCTGTGAGCAGGTGGAAAAAGAAACCAGGGGACACTTGACACCTAGGACATAATGGACACTCTGCAATATTTTAGGTTACTGGTGATTTTTGCCCCATACAGACAGTAGAGTCCTAACAAAACTAAGATATACTATACTTAAAGGTTGGAGTCACATGCAAGCTCTTCGTGCCAACAGTATCATTCCTAAGACCATGTCAGATAGAAGGATCTTCTTCTAAACAGTACTTACGGGATCTGATCTTTCTTGTTGGCTTCCCCACTAAGGTTATGCATTAATAATCCGTTTTGTGGATAATTTTTTAAAGTTATAGTAACAAAACCCTGACATGGAAAAACAAGGATTCTTGCCTTTTTATGTGCCATCATACTTGATTGCTATTATTTCTGGGGTTTTCTTTTGTTATCTTTAGGACATGAAGGAGACCCTTGCCTTCGTTCAACTGACTGCATTGAAGGTTATTGCTGTGCTCGCCATTTTTGGACCAAAATCTGCAAACCAGTGCTACGACAAGGGGAAGTTTGCACAAAGATACGGAAAAAAGGCTCTCATGGATTGGAGATCTTTCAGAGATGCGACTGTGCTAAGGGCTTGTCTTGCAAAGTATGGAAAGATGCCACATATTCTTCAAAATCAAGACTGCACATTTGCCAGAAAATATAAGCCATATGAATCATTGATACAACAGATTTTGTTCTTGAAGGAGGATACTATTGATCCACATATATGAAGGACATTTGGTACTGAAAATGACACTGAACTGAAAGGGGATGTATATTATGAACTGGAGCTAATGGACCTTTCGTATGTAAATAAACACTTTGTGACATTGACATTTCATAAAATGGCATTTATTATGGTAACACAACGCATGCCCACTGATTTAACAACAATATATGAGCATTAAGTATATAGACATTATCTTCATTTGTGTACTCTGTTGAAACACTTTAACAAAATCCAAACATAGTTGTTTTTTTTTTTTTTTTTTTTTTTTCTGTGCATTGGCATTGAGTGCTTTATATAAAAAGTAGAACAGATTTTGTCCAGGGAATACAGATACAGTGTTTTCACATGATGATCAATCTTGCCGGAATACAGTTACGGTATATCCTGTTCTTTGTCAAGAAAGTCTTTTTCAGAACACAGAAATCTGGGTCAGCCAATTACTGGCAACTACCATACGTTCCTAAAAGCTCAATTATGAATACCAGATCTAAGCAAGTCAGATATTGCTGACACTGTGCCGACCAGATCTTTATTATAAAATTATAGCAATTAAGAGAAAGCACGCCTGCTCAATACAAAGTTCACTGTAGCATTAAAAATGGTTAGCGCACATGTCTTAGCTGTCCAGTTTGATACACTACAGTGATTTTTTTGTGGTTTACAGAATGAAAATCATAAAAAAAATAGTATAGTAAAAAGAGCAAGGGGACACTGTATAATTTGCTAACTAAGAAGGATAACATCATTGTATGATGTTTACTACAGCAAAATACAAAATATACACAGATATATATGACAGCAGTGGCTGTTTTGTCTTTCTCATCAGCATTAATTTCCTTTCTTATTCTATACAGTTATTTATATTGTTCATTATAGACGTCCATGTTCAGGTTCTGATCTGGCTTTCATTAAAAATTAAATAAAATAGTTACATTTGTTTTGTATTGCATGTGACTGTGTCTTGAATACTAATAGGTCATATATGGAAAGGATTAAAGTGGTGAAAACCATGTTAAGAGAGCCTGTTACCATTTTGATGGTTGTGACTGTTGCACAAAAGTTTGGGACTGTATCAGCAAGATAATATTGCCAGAGTTGCAAATAATACATAAATGAGAAATTTCCTCACTTCAAAATACTCTGAGCTTCAAATGTGTTGACACCAGCAGGGAGATGTGTTTGCTGGAATTTGCATTTGATGTACATGTATATGCACTCCAAAGACATGCTGGTAGGTGAATTGGCTCCTGTCTAAATTGGCCCTAATATGTGTATGTATGAATGTAAGTTAGGGACCTTAGATTGTACGCCCCTTGAGGGTTAGGGACTGATGTGAATGTACAATATATATGTAAAGCGCTGCGTAAATTGATGGCGCTATATAAGTACCTTAAATAAATAAATAAAATATGCAAGACCGTTTAGCAGCTCACACCATGATGCTCTATAATGCCACTTCACCATTACCTGTCTAGTCATTGTGGGGTTGATTTACTAAAATGGAAGAGTGCAAAATCAGGTGCAGCTCTGCCTAGAAACCAATCAGATTCAAGTTTTTTTTGTCAAAGCTTTAAATGAACAAGCTTTAGTTAGAAGCTAATTGACTACCATGCACCAGATTTTGCATGTTCCAGTTTTAGTAAATCTACCCCATAGTCTCCTTAGTTCTCAATTCCTGCTTCATCGAAGCCTTGGTTTCCATACATTGCACTGATAATAATCAACAAACCTGAAACAGCTGCATGCAGTTTAAAATAATTGGCTTTATAGTATTTGGTTATATCCATTCTGTAAACCACTTAAGGTGTAGTTGGCTCAGAGGCATAAAGGAACGATTTGCATTGCTCTGTCCTTTCTTCTAAAATTAGGAATAAGCTCCTTGTCTTTATGATCTGAAATCCAAGTGATGACAAGTACATACCTTCTGTTTTAAGAAAGTTCTGCCATGTTTCACAGAAGATTAATGCAGGCTTTTCTGTTCCTTTAAACCCACTCACTATATCCTGTCTGGTTATATTACCACTATGGTGTTTTTAAACAGTAAATAGGGTAGCAAACATACCACTTAGTAAGTATAGATTCTTAAATAAATTACATTGTAGATATTATTATTATTATTATTATTATTATACAGGATTTAAGATGTAACCCTAGCCTAGAGTAGTTGACAAAATAAAAAAAATTAAAAAATTGGCTTACCATGCTAGTTATAGTGCTGTGATTAACCATACTTAAAAATTAGGTCTAAAATGGAATTACACCCTTTTCCTGACCTCTGTAGCTGTTGGCTCTGTTAGGCAATTCACCTTTAAAGTTAAAAACAGAAGTGCCGTAGTCATTCTAATTGGCAGAGCACCTGCTCTATGTTTACTGTAGACCCATTCCACACTGAGGTGGTGTAGTTTGACCTCACCGCAGGTGTAGTGCAGTGTATCTACGAATTTGGTCCTGCATGCAGGACTTTTGGTGCGCTTTCAGAAGGCACACCAAAATCATGGAACATAATAGAATTCTATGGGAAAGAGCAGCTAACCCGCACCAAACCCGGGTAGTATACTTTACTACACCCATGGTGCAGTCAAACAGCAACACATCAGTGTGAAATGAGCCTTAGAAGGTTGGTAAGCTTCTGAGTTGCCACTGAGAGAGCCGAACAGACTGCGGGAAGCTGAAAAGAGAAAGGACTTCAGTATTTCTGGAGAGACATTTGAGGATAAATTTCTACACAGTGCCTGCTGCTACAGAGGCCAGCAAGGGATTGATTTACTGCTTTTTTTTTTGAAATATATAAATCTTTAGATGACAATAGCCTGGCCACAGATTCATTCTAAGTTGAAAGCTTTTGATCTTTAAGCATGCCCATAATATAAAAAATTCAAAATCCATACCTTTTTTGCTTTCTGTAGTAAGCACATGCACTGTTAATTTGTCCGTATGCTTTGAGTTTTATGTACTAAAGGGTATTTACGAATTGTCACTTTGATTGTCTGGGTAATGTTTTTTTTGGCCAGCAGCAGTGCTCATAAAAGATCCTTATGTCATTGTGGTAAGAGTGATACTACCTGGTTTTGCCTAAACTCTTAGAGGAGTCCAGAATACTCTAAAACAGGCTCAGAAAACAACCATTCTCATTGAAACAAACTTGCAGTTTATTTACAAGGGCTACATACTGTATATACAATAGCAAAAACTGGAAAGCAAAAAAAAAATGAAACCTTGTCACTCCAGAGACTTACTGATATACAGGGCCCCTAACTAAGAGGCCTAGAGCAACCTACTGCTGCCAAGGCATCTAATTCTCCTTGCCACCTAGACTGTGTCTCACCACACATGAGCTGTGTCACCACACAAGTAATAAACTGTCTTCAGTCTAGCATACTCAGAAATTTGTTCCAGGGAGGAGCAAAATCCCTGAGCAGCCTCGGAATTTACTGTATATACAGCCCCAAACCACTAGACCTGCTTCAGCTGAGCTCGTTGTATAATCAGCTTGCCCAAACAAACGTAGCCTCCTTCCACCTGGGTTCACACTTCTGTGGTGCAGAATATCGCATCTGATTTGCACAGGAACCACACCGCCAGGGGCGGACTGACCATTTGGAAACTCGGGTACTGCCCGAGGGCCCGGGGTCAGTAGGGGGCCCCATGAGATGCCCCTGGTACCTTTTTCATAGGCTTTTTTTAGTTTGGGCAAGGACACAGGGGCCCCATAATCCCCTATTGCCCAGGGGCCCCATGAGTTGTCAGTCCGCCCCTGCACACCGCATTCCTTTAAAATCACATGTGAATTCTGTGCAGTGCAATTTGAGCCATACATTTTGTACCGCTCCGCACCGCATCCGCACCTAAAAAGTGCAGGACCCTTTTTTTTGTCCGCACTAGAATCGGATTGCATGGGTATTTACACCCATATAATCCGATTCTGTACATCGCACCGCGTTTTGTGAATTGATTTTGGGGTGTTGTTAACATACACATACATACCCACAGCGGTTTGCATGAACGGGGTGCAATTATGATGCGGAGCGGAATTCGCACAGAAACCGGTGCGAATTCCGCACACATCAATGTGAACCCAGGCTCTAAATTAAAAAGAAAAATATTCAACAAACTGTCAAGAATATACATATTTCCAGTCTTGAATACAGCCAGAAGTTTTCTTGGCCTACCATTAATACATATATATATGTATTATATATGGATACATAATACATAATGGGTCCTGGATGGGTGATATACAGCATCTCTCCCTTATTTTTTAATTGGCTTTTGGGGGCACTACAGAATTAATGCTAGAGGGAATTATATTCAGGAATCTTCAGAGTTTTGGGAAAAACTGTTCAAGCTGCTGAATTGCTGAGCACTGCTGAGGACTGTAGCTCCATTGGAGACCCCAGACTGTTTTGAGACTGTGATATCCATCCTGCAGATAATGCTTTAAGTTGATGAGGCATTGTTTTAGGCTAAAGATAAGAAGGGGACTGTAGTATGTTAGCGTGTTTAATCAAACTGTTTAATTAAACAGTAAAAGCTAATACCGAACTGGTTAAAAATGCACTAACCACTTAATCAATCAGTTTTTTTTTATCCTTAGCCAGTTAGTATAGTGAATCAGTAAAAGATTATTTCTTATTTCCCCATATAGGATACTGTACAGTACATGTTACTCTTTAACTTAATAAAACAAAAAAAATTGTGTTGTGTCGAAAATACTGTTCAAATATCATCTCACTAGAAGGGAAAGTCCAAGAGAGAGGAAAAAAGAGAGAGAGGAAGAGAGAGAAAGCACACACACCCTCCTTAAGATTTCCATATGACCAAATCAATGTTTTATACTGTCTCATCTATAAATATATTCAATCCCACATGAGCCCACACACTTTCAAAAACTGTACAATTCTAACTAAACTTAACAGATCATCCAATCTCATTGT